TTACCTCTCTGTAACTTTTCATTTTTAAACCTGTAACAAACCACTCAGTGAGCAAGTGAAACCACAGTGCCACTCATAGCCCCCTTCAGCAGCTGCCTCTTGTGTGAACAGCTAAGGCAGGGTCTTGTGCCAAAAGCCCTGAGCAAGGAAGGAAGACTTCCCTAAGTTCTGCAGTCCTGTTTTGATGAGCATAAATATGAACTGAAAGTGTTCAAGCCAAGGTTTAGTGACAAGGGGGGAAAAAAATAAAATCAAGATACTGATCAAAAAGCTGCAGTACAAAACCGTAACTAGGACATTGTGATGTTCCATCCCTTCTTAGTAAGAACAAGGGAAAGTTTAGTTGTATGTATTTGGGCTTATGGATTTATTTTTCATTGTTACCAAGTAAGCAGTGAAAAAAAATTTAAAAAGCATTTTTAAATAAAACAACAGATTTTAACCCTAAATCTTTGAATAAACTAAGAACAGATTCTGTTGATGCAGGCAGGTTCTCCTTCTCCTCTATGACTTAATACATACACATTTAATATGGTCAGCCATACAAACTGGCTTGTTGATACAGCATTACATTTAAAAAAACCCAACCAAAAAAAAACCCAAAAAAGCTTTCCTGAGAGCCACTTAAATGTGCTCCTTGCACAAAAATAAAAGAATAAAACCTGACAGCCTACTGACATAATCAGCTCTCACACAGTAGCCAAATGTTGTTTACTAAATATTTCTATTTAACTTTTTCTTTTAATATATGAATCTTTAATACTTACTTTTCAAGACTAAAGTAACTAATCAGATCACTTTAATAAATATTTTCTTAGAGACAGACTGCTTTAAAAATACTAAAACACTAGAGGGCTAGAGAGCATTTTCTTCAATAATCAGTTCAGAATTCTTATTAATTGTGTTCATAACTGGCCATCTTAAGCACCTGTGGAAGAACTGTCTGCTTTGCTTCAGCTAGTCTCAAGTTTTAAAAGTAGAGTTAGGATTAGAGGCACTGAATATAAGTATTTCTAAATAGAGGGGAATTACTCACAACAGCTACCAGGTAGTTGCTATAGCAGCTGAGAAATAAAATAAAAGATCTTCAAGGTTGTTAGGAGAGTGTTTAATTTATTTAGAAATATCCTGAGCAATCTTTTAATATCTTTGCTGCAGATGCATGCAGTGATTTGTATGAGAACTGGGCAATACAATGGTGTTCTACAATGCAAATGTGGAAAACTTTTCTTGATTGCAGGCAGGCACAGAGAACTCCAGAACTGGCCAAAAGGCACCAACGCTCCTATCAGGAAATTTAACATATTCTCCTGCAGCCAAGAGCCTGTGGCAGCACATGAATATCTGCAAGCTGAGGGGCTCCAGCAAGCAGAGCAGAAATGCCTTTGATACTCCCTGGAAGCCAGTGCAGAACACAAGGCCCTTCCACAGCCAGGTGTTGGGAGGGGAATGTGGTGTCTTTCTGAAGGATCCATTCTGTAAATTATCACCTCTGAGCCAGCCACTCAGGTAGGGCAACAGAGCACAACTTACTTTCAACAAAGACAACAGCATCAGGATTAACCACTTTAAATGGCACTTTCCCTTTCCTTGGTCCACAAGAACAGCTATGCCTAGGGCCTGGATGCCCCGACGTTTCCACCAGAAACCTCTTGGTGGTATTCCAGTTGCAGAAATAACTGATTTTTCTCCCACTCAGCTCACATCAACAGGGACAAAGTTTATTGCCTTAACCCAAAGGCAAATCTTAAAACTTTGCATGGTTTAGCAGGAGCACAGATAAAACATGCAGTGGTTTTTTGGACAGACTATAACCAAACCCAAACTACTAAAGCCCAAAGGCATAAGCTCAGAACAGTGACTCATGCCAAGATTATTTTTGTACATATTACTTGTGGAATCAGGATAATTTACACTGATATTTCTTCACCCCCCCTCCTTTTTTTTTTTTTTTTTGGCCAGTGCACCTCCCAGCAGCAAACCCTCAGGTCCACACTTTCTGCAGACTATTTGCTTCAAAATACACAAAAATAACCGTTCCAGCCAGCAATGACAGATCTACTTTTGAAAAACTGATATCCCACTCCTCACTTGTAGTAACTAAACTCCAGACATAAGCAGCATTTTTCACCTATTTTCCTTCTCAGGAGGATTATCAACAAATTTCAATTACAGGAAAAGTAATTAAAGCTACTCAAGAATAAAAAAAAGCTTGCCTAGAGATCACCAAAACTTGTACAACTCAGCTGTTACCTCAGCCCTGCCTACAGGTGTGTTGTTTGCAAAATAAAAATCCCCATCCTTAGAGGAATATTCTCCAGCCCAGGGAACATCACTGAAATCACACTTGTTTTCATTCACTGCTCTCCCTTCCACATGCCTCTTCCAGACTTGTTTACAACCTGACAGGAGATTTCCCAGCTTTTCTTTTCAAATATCTGCATAAAAAATTAGTTCACCTGTTTTTTTTGGATCAAGGTAAAACAAGGATTTTCTTATTGGAGCACATAGGCCAAACACGAAAACAAACACTGAATATCAAACCCTGCAACACGGCAAAGAAAAACAACAGAAATGTATGGCAAACAACAGAGATTTGGAAGACAGGTAATGATTTTCTGAAGCATCCATTACAACTATAGCAGTCAGTTTCATCCTAGAGTAACAGAGGTGGCCTCTACCCAGCAGATGAGGTTTAAAAAAAAGTAAAGCATCAACTACATTTAAAAACCCCAGCAAAATAATAGCTTCGTATTCCTGAAGCATCCAGCTGGGATGTAACAGGGCTTGTTAACTTCAGATACTCCCAGTGACCAGACACAACAACAGGATTGAAAGCAACGACTTCCAGGTGTTCTTTTCTGCCACTTGTTTATATTACCCTACACGTACAGGTTCATCTGATGCTTCATTTGATTTTATTTTTAAACAAAAGTGATTTTCTTCATCTCTCTTTACTATGAACACAAGTGGGATGTACTAAGCAAAATATTTGCTGTACAAGATGAAAAATTAACAAGAAGTATTTTTTTTTATTATTAAATTAACAAAAAGCATTTTAACAAAGAAGCATTAAGGCTTCTAATTCTCACGAGTTAATTGCCAAAATCCCACTTTAACAGTTCCAGTTAACAGATCATGTAGCAAATTTGTTGATACTATTTTAAATATTTTGTAGAAATCAATCATCACTACACACGGTGGAACTTAAAAATCAATATGCACAACTGATAACTATAAATTTAATGAGGCGTTTAAGTAACTAATCAGAGTAGCAGTAGTAGCCTTTATTATTATAATACAAGTCAACAGTTAAAAAAAAATTAAATCGAAATGAGCAAAAGCAAAGTAAAAGGAATTCTGTATCTTCCACTTCATTAGATGTAACATTTCTGCTCTTATCAGGGATTTATACGCTAAAATAACAAACCAAAGCCGCCAACGGTGATGCCTCAGATTAGAGCAACCCCGATGCCAGACGCCTGTAAATCTGCTTTGCCGAAACAAGGAGCAAGCAGCGCAGCCCGCACGCACAGAGGCCCCGGCCCCGTTCGCGGCCCGCAGCCCCCGGCCCGGCCGCCCCCGGCCCCGCCGCCGGGCAGGTGCAGCACCGACGCCCCCTAAAGACACCGCGGCGCCGCCGGCTCCTTCCCAACTCCATCCACACATCGCCTCTCTCCGCAGATGGAAACGCAGGGAAAAGGGAACCGCGCGCTTAAGTAGATTAAGGGCTCAGCAACTCGTTTTCTGATTATTCCTGCGATCCCGACCCCAGCGCGGGCCCCCGAACTCCGCTCGTCTATCGCTTCGCCGCGGCGGCGCTCGGGGAAATAACGCGAACCGAGGCGCACGCAGAGCACATCCAGCGGTGCGGGCAGGGCAGGGCAGGGAGCGCCGGGCAGCCCCCACAGGCCCGCGGGAAGCGCTGCCCCATCCCGGCTCCCCCTGAGGGGCAGCGCCGCGGGCACCGCCGGCCCCGGGGGAGGGGAACAGCCGCCCCCCACAGCCCAGCACAGCCCCCGGGGTTCGGCGGGGAGAGGAGGGGGTGCGCGGGGCGGGGGAGGGATGCGGCACCACCTACCCACGCCGTATTTCTCCTCCTCGGTGGGACTCCACATGCTGCTGGATGGCTCGGCCGCGGCCGCCGGTCCCCGGGCAGAGCGCGGCGGGCGGGCGGGCGCCGCTCATCGAGCGGGGGCGGCTTCTCCTCCCCCCGCGCTCAGCGGGGGCGCCGCGCCGGCAGCCCCCGCCCCACGCTTCGGCCGGGGCTGTGCTCAGGGGTCGCTTCGCCGCTGCCGGGGGGCGGGGGGAGATCGCCCCCCGCCCGCCCGCCCGGGCGGTATCGGCCGCCGCGCCGCTCCCCTCTGCGGCCGCTCGCCGCCGGCCCGGCGCCTCTCCTCGCGCGGCCCCCGCGGGCTCCGGCCCTGCCGACGCGGCGGCCCCGCGGAGCTCGGCAGCCCCGGGCCCCCTCCTCGTCGTTCTCGGTCTCCTCCTCCCGAGCCGCCGCTCCCGCCGCCGCCGCCTGAAGGACTCGGGGCTGCCGCGCCCCCCCTCACGCTCCCGGCGGACCTGGCGCGCACGCGCGGCTCGCGCCGCCCCCCCTCCCCGCGCGGCCGCACGAGGCGCGCGCGGGCGCGAGGCGCGGGGCGGCGCGCGGCCCCTGAGGGCGGGAAGGGGAGCGGCGGGGCCCGGGACATCCTCCCGTGCCCATCCCCGTCCCCGTCCCCATCCCCATCCCATCCCATCGCCGGCTCCACCCCATCCCCGCCGCACCTGCCGGGAGCCCGGCCCGCAGTGCAGCACCGCGCCCGGCCGGGTTGGTCAGCAGCGGGGCCGACCGGACCCCCGCCCGGCGCCGCGGGCTGCCCGCGACACGGCCCGGCCGCTGCCCGCCATTGCCGAGCCCCTGGCAGCGCTCCGCTACCCCCGGCACCGCCAGTCCCAGGCACCGCCAGCGTTTAGAGCGAAATTTGCCTGATACTGTGTTTCCTTTTCTTGTCGGTATTATTAATCTCCAGAGCTTCTAAAGAGCTGGTGAAATTCGCACGGTTTCCGCAATGAGCACGTACCCAAAACGGGAAACAGTCTTTAGATTTCATCTCCCAAGTTCAGCTTCCATTCCTTCCATAAAAACTGAATTTGAATTCTTCACAGCAAAGGAAAAGCTAAAATAAGTTATACAAAAGTTTTCCTGCAACTGAAATTTTACTCCCTGCAATATTCTGATGGACCAGTGCCCCTGCCCCGGTCAGAGCCTCTGCCAAAACCCTTTTTATACAGCCTTTTCAGAAACCGTTGTAAACAACTTGCTTGATTTGAAGTTTTAGGATTGCACTAAACTTTTTAACAATATAACTTCAGATGTACTCAACACTTTTAATAGAATATCTGTTCTCTGATTATATAATAAAACAGAATGAAAGTCATCAACTTGCACTACAGAACTGGGGTTGCTGTGGAAACCTTCATTATTTATTTTTTTAACACGTGCAACTACTGTTTCCCCACCAAGCAGGGCCAGGTTTCTGTTTGGGTTTTGGTTTGGCTTTGGGATGTCGGGTTTTGTTTTCCTGTGTGGAAAGCAAACAGCAAGTGGCCAAGAACTGAGTGTGCTTGTACATTATTCATTTTAAAAAACCAGCTTATTCTATCCTACCTTAATTCATATTCACATTTAGGCATTTGTATTTACAATAGCTCCGTTCCTTCCCTTCCTGAGGCACTCCTACAGCATGCAGAAATAGCTTTTTGAAGGGACAAAGCATGACAAAGTCATAGAGTTGCATCTGTTGGAGATAGGCTGCTCCAGGGTTTGACAAACTGGTTTTGGTTTTTTAACTCTGTTTATGTCAATGATAAATACCTTTCCATCTCTTCCAAATACTTTGGGAACAGAAAACCTCTGCAGTGATAGGAATTGGTTAATTCTTCCAGGCTCTTTATTCCACAGTCTCAGCCCTTCAAGGATTCTTCTTGCTGCCAGGCTGACCAGTACTTTAACTGATATTTTCCTACTTAAGAAAAAAATACAGCATATTTTTTTTCCAAACTAAAACCATGTCTGAGTTGGCTCTTCCCTTAAAGTAAACTCAGAATGAAGGTGAACTTGGGAAGTAAGACCCTTCTAAGGCTAGACAAACTCTGAGGAGGACACCAAAACAGCTGGACAGAATAGGACCTGCCAGGACCTAATAGCATACGGAAAGCACTTTATTTAAAGGCCATATGTATGGTCATGGGCATACAAATGACAGCATTAGCAGGGACACTCACACTGATGGCAGATTACCTGTATTTGAAACACAACACATATTATTGCATGTTTATTCCTGACTCTTTTCTGCACTGCTGCTGGTGATTCCTATTTTCAGAGAGAGTCAGTAGATGGCCATATGACCCACATGACTTCAGGAAGAAAAAAAGTCAATGTACTTAGCTGTAGAGTCAGTGGAATGCAAGTTTGTTTAAGTTAAAGTTACCAAATATATTTACACCTGTTCCTCTGATCTCTGCATCCACCCCTTTAACGAGGCTCCTGTCACCTCCACAGAAATACTGATTGCTTTAGTAAACACTCCTAGCTTAAGTGTAGAAGGAACAAACATCTCATCCTCCAACGGAGGCAGAGCCACAAATCTCCCAGGCACCAAGCTGGAATTCAGGATTACCCACGTGCAAAGGAGAGACCAAAGCAAACAGCCACTGCTGCAGAACAACTGTTTCTGCTGTCTCTTCTCTCTCTAAACAGAGCTCACTCCTGCCAGCTTCAATATTCACACTACTGTGAAAGCACAGGGAAAGCAGAGAAGTACTGTAGCAAGCAAAACCAAGAATTCTCAAGGTTATATGCCCCAGGGTTTTCTTTCTTTTTATTTTCTTTTTTTCTAGAGTTGTTTTTGTTTTCCTTTATAAAGTTTGCACATTGAACACACTACACAAAATTGGAATCCAAACCCTACTTCTAGTATGGTTTTGTTAAGAAGTTTTTAAAATTGGCATCAGCAATCAAACTAAAGTTTAAAATCTGATGTAAATGTCAGAGCTCCTACAAGAAGAGCTTCTGTTGGTGGACATTGTGGATCCCAGAATTAATGGTTTTCAGAGAAAAGGGGCCATCCCTTGCAGAAGTCTTTGAGGTGCTGTTCTGTCACTGAGGTCTTGTGTTGCACTGTACTGAAATAAAGGCAAATACAAGCTTCAAGACCTTATTTAAATGAACAAGTCAAGTCAGTAGAAAAGCACTTATCTCTGAAAAACACTGTGTAAAGTTACTCAATGTCCACTGTGTTCAGGAGTTGTCCTGTCAGAGGCATTGTGAGTTGCTTATGGTTCTGCTACTGCAAACACAGTTGTCCTTATCCAAACAGAGCATGCAGCAATGTTTAACACAGTGTTAATTAAAATACATTAGAGAGTTCACCCTATATTGTCCTGTCTTGCCATAATATAGATGTGATCTGAAAGACAGCTGGCTTGGGATTGGAGAGATTTGACACAGTTTCTTTCTCTTAAATAGATCAAGGGAACTGCACAATCCTTTCAAATGCTCTGCAAGGGACAATGGAAGGTCAGAGTGCAGAAAGCAGAGAGATTCTTACACCTCCCTGCAAGCAGCCTTCTCTCAGTTATCCCAGCCTTCAGGTACCACAGAACATATCACCCTCCTGCCCTCTTTTTCAGGGAAGTGCATCCCCACATTTTGCCCTTTGTCTCCATTCTCAGGCCTACGGTTGCTGGTAACTTCTGTTATTACTTCAAGCCTCAGTTTCAGTAGGATGGCCCAGGACCCTTGCCATCAGAAAAAAAAAAAATTTAAAAAATCAGAGATTAATTTCAACTCCCTGTGACAGACCAGACAATTTATTTGATTATATTCCATCCTTTTCTACACTTGAGGTTCTGACTTTCTATTTTTGTTTCTTTCCCCTGTTGCTACAATTAATTAAGCCACTGAACTTTACTTTCCCATTAAATTATGAATTCCTCACCTTGCAGGGAGAAACAAAGAGATGCAAAGCAAATCCACTCTATCATCATCTGTGATGACCTCACAGGTCCTTTTGAAGCACCAAGTGTTTCTACTTTATGCCTCAAAAGGGATTCTGGTGTCCCAGGAACTGAACTATTCTTCCTTTGGTGAAGTCATCTTCTAAAACTTTTAAGCAGGAGCTCTCAGGTTTTGATGCACAAACACAAATTCTATTTTTTGTCCTATTGCACAGGGCCATCTCACGGATTTCTTCCTTATGAGGGATCAAACCAGCAACTTGGGAATCTAAATGCAGCAAATGACAGATTTTCTCTCCAAGGCATCACAGTGTGTGTGCCCCACAACTTCACACACCTTTAATTGGGATGATTTCTGATTAGTGCTCAGGGGAGGATGTTAAAGTCCATTATCTTAAGACTCCTTCCAAATTTTTAATTCAGAAGGAGTTCTTTATAAACAAATCTGCTCCCAGCCCTCAACATTTCTCAGAGTGGCAGGAAAGGAAGCAGAATTCCACCCAGCAGCAGCATTCCCAGCATGCTGCTGTCACTCCATCATTTATTCCTTACAGAGTGCCGGAAGCAGCAGCTCATGACCAGCAGCAACCAGCACACAGTTCACTTCACCATGTGAGATGCAGCAAGCAGAACTTTCTGATAAACCTGGGAACATCTCAATTACAACAATTCTGCTCTTCCATTCCTGAATTTTTCTTTCATGCAAAATGGAAGTCAGCATAAAATATTACAGTACTTCCCCTATTTTTGCTGTTGTCTTCCTCAGAGCAAAGCGAATCTAAAGTCATGGGGGCAGAAAAGGAGGTGTTTTCATATCCTTCCAGAACAACAGACATCTGGGGTTAAGCCTCACCTAATAAAACTCCCCATAAAAATGTTCACTAAAACAAATTTACACAACAGTTACAAATATAATATTAAAAGTTACTTTCACTCTATTTGTAACATTGCTATTGAAAGCAAATTATAAAACCAGAAAAAAAACAGGACTTGCAGAAGGACAAATATAGATTGATGTGGTTGTGCCAGCACCTAAGTTTGTAAATTGCTTGCATAGAAGTTATCTGGATTAAATCAGGAGAGCAATACAGATTACTTTTTTTTCAGCACAAAAGTAGAGAATGGACTGACTAATAGCTTAGTACCAATATGTCAAGTACGACGACCAAAAATTTACAGTGCAGGTGGTAATTATTTAGTCAGATGGATCTTTATGTAAAAAATATTACAGATCATGCTGAACGAATGTTTTCCTGGTACTAAAGAAACAGAGAATTTTGCCCTTCAAATATTAAAAAAAAAATATTTAAAAGATTAATTTAAAACTTCTTGCACTATGAATAAATGAGAAATTTGAGGAAAATACTATTGCAGCTTCATTCTCACTTATCCTTAATGCTCTCACTACAGCAAATTACCTATTAAAAGGGTGAGAAATCATAGGATGTTAATTAGCACTGTTTTGACAAATTTATACCTTTTCCTATTAATATCTTTTAATGTTCAGGATATAAGAAACCCTATCACAAGTAATAATTAACTCCTGTCTTATTTTGTGAAATGAGAGTTCAGAAGCATTGTGAACTCTCCTGGTATGTTTTTTTTTTTTTTTTTTCTTTTTTTTTTTTTTTTTTTTCATTTCTGACCTTATGCATTTCTTATAATTTATGTATTTATTGCCGTGGAAGAGATCTCTTTCATGCTAAGAAATTTATACTATTGAAAGACAACATCAGAGAAGTGGTTTCATCACTGATGGAAATGAGCATGTTGCTATTGCAGAGGCTGCTTAAGTGATTTGAGCTATCACACAATCAGCCCTCAGCCAAATCCCTGGCAGGGAGGGCAGGGCTTGGCTGGCGATTTTTAAGCGCTCTCTCTGATGTTACGGCTTTGATTCAGGGATAGCAGAACCTTACTTTGTGCCCAACATCTGACACATCTCAGGGAACGAGGGCTGAGCATCCCGGAGTCCTGCGCTGCCCTTTGCGTGCGCTGTGCGTGTGACGGGTGACAGAGGCGTCCGGGCTGCAGGCAGGGCAGGAGCCCCGCATACTTCCCGTGCTGTCCTTCCCGTGCTGTCCCTTCCCGGGCTGTCCCTTCCCGTGCTGTCCCTTCCCGTGCTGTCCCTTCCCGTGGCTCTGTCCCACGCCAGCCCCGCAGCCTCACGGCCGCTGTACCCCCGTGGTTAAAGCAGCTCCGAGCAGCTCGGCGCGGCCCCTCCGCTCCGGCTCCCCGCCCGCTGTCCCTGGTGCTGGAGCCGCACCGGCCGGGCCCCGCTGGAGCTCGGAGCCTTCCCCAGCAGCAGAGATCCCCAGCCGAGCTCCCGGAGCCTTCCCCGGCAGCAGAGATCCCCAGCCGAGCTCCCGGAGGCTCCCGGCAGAGCGGGGGGCGCCTCCTGCTCCCGCCCCCCGGCACCTTCCAGGGAGCGCCAGCCCCGGGCACGGGGAGCAGCCTCGGCTCCGGCTGGTCCCTCTGCAGGGAGCACCTTGTGATCGGGAAATAAAACCAGCCCTGACACAAGCAATCGGTAAAACTGGAATTTAGAACTACTGAGATGGATAACTTGAAGTCATCCCATTTTCCCTTATGGGAATGCTGGGGCACACAGTGTAGCTGTGGGCACAGCTCTGCAGCTCAGCTAACGATTACAGAAATACACAGTCCTGGCAAGGTGCTCAATACCCAAGGAGCACTGGTTAACATTTCCGACTATTTTCCTGTCCATGCTAATCACATATTTATATTTGAAAAGTAAACATTCAATGTGTTTATCTGTAAAATTATTTTCATTACTTTTAGCTAGATAAACCCATCACTGTACATATGTACAGTCAAAACAAACAGTGCATTTTTGTAGTAAAATAAATAGTGTCTTTTTATAGCACATAAATATTACAAATCTTAAGTAATTAAATTTTGTTAAGATGTGGACAATTGAACTGTCATTAGTTTGACAGAAAGCCAAAACAGGTTTCCAACTCCTAGTTTCATGTGCCCAGAGTGACAAGTATTTGACAGTTAAGTGCTCATATAAGCTTCATATTCCAAAATTAATTTGAAATATATCCTTGTGAAAGGCATTACTGTATTCCAATGTTGAAGAAATATATATCCTATATGTGTTCTCAGCATGCCAAAACCACTTCAGTCTCCTAGAAAGCAGACTTGAAATTTTGTCATGCATGCCTCAATACAGCGACATCCAAAGACACCCACATGTGTCACTTAGGTTAACTGGGGGGGAAATCTGACAGGAATTTATTTTTAGAGCTTTGACCTATGTAATGAAACCAAATCTTCCTGAGCAGAATAAAAGAAAGCAGAATATTTTGTTACCTGACACAGCAGAACAATGAGTCAATTGTAGCAATTCTGCAGACTGGCATGTCCCTGAGTAAAAAGGATGAAGTTACTGTAAATCCATCCAAATACTCACATCCAGCTCTGGGAGTGAATCAGCACAAAGTGACCAGCAGCTGATTCATCTAAATAACAAAAGCCCAAACACCTCAGCTGTCCCCACACAGAAGTAATCAATAATCACACAAATTCACTCTCCTGCTATAATGTACTACAGCACAACTGGCCAAGAGCTCTTAAATACACCCAAGTGGTGTTTTCTGCTGAGGAGCAGAGGAATGACACCCACACATCTCCATGGTGTTGAATATTCCCTTTTCCTTAACACTTCCTGACACTCCAGCAATACAATGAGTACAGTTGGGAGAGTTGCTCACTGTGCAAAAAGCACAGGGAGCCAGGTCCCCCAGGCCAGTAGCAGCCCCAGGCAGAGCCCAGCAGCAAGGATGCTGCCTGCCTGCCTGCTGCAGACACACAAACTGCTCATTCCTCTGAGGCATCTTCCTGCAAACCAGCGAGCTTTCCTGAGCCTTGAAGTGACCGAGTCAGGTGATCCAATCAGTCAGCAGGAGCACAAGCCTGAATTAGACAGGTGGTATCCACATGGGGGAAAATTGCCATCTAAAATTGCTGTGTGTAAAGGTGAGGATGTGTCCTGAGTCTCCTGTAAAGCTGTGCAATCAAATTGTAATTCTTTATGTTCTGTTAACATACTAAACAAATAGAAAGACAAATCAACATAGCTGCCAGGAGCAGGAGTGCAGAGCTCTCCCCAAAAGCCCTCCCAGAAACATTCCCCATGAGGGCAGGCCACTGAAAGAGGGAAGTACACTCACATTATAAAGCACTCAGTGACAGGCACAGCATCTTACACACAGGGGAAAAAACCAAGGAAAGCAGTTTAAAATGATCCCTCAGAGACCAGATATGACCCAGGTACTGTTTCAGCCACAAAAATGAAAGTTTGCAGATATTTTAAAATCCATTAATTCCTTCAAAGTGAAGGGAAGGCCTGGAGAAGAGTCTGCAAAAGCTATTTTTTACAGACACCCTTTTACCTACAACGTGATACAGATTAAAGGATGGATTCAGTAAGAAATGTATTTTTTATATCTGGTTCATTAATTATCCACCATCAGGTGGAAGACCACCAGGGTTTGGACTGGCAGTGACCACTGCAACTGTCCTACAGAGAGTGAACAACCTCACATATTTATTTAGTATTAAACCCAGCAACCAATATAGAAATAACATGCCTGGGAAGCAAAGTGCAAACACAGACTGCAAACAGATCTCTCAACTAATTGAACCTGCTCAGATTATGAAGATAAAATTCAGACAATTTTTAATAATTCATTTTTCCTTCCTACTGGTAATAGAGAAGGGTCTCCAAGAGTTTATACTCAGCAAACACTGCTACAAATGTGCTACTGTTTAGAATTAGAAGAGGACAGATTCTGATGCAACTTTTACCTTTTCCTATTAATATGAAATCTTTTGGCCTCTGGTGCACCTCTCATTCCCTACTGCAGTTCAAAATGCTGGGTTGTTCTCAGGGTGTTTGGCCATGTCAGCTTGAACTGAAGCAGGACAGCTGCTCCCCATCCCTCCAGACTCAGCACAGAGTGACGATTTCAAGCTGCTGTCTGGAGGAGCTGAGGGCAGGATTTCCAGGATCCTGGTAATCTTCCATTAATACTAATTCCACTGCAACCTGCTAAGATCTGTTCTTCACCCACTAAAGAAATTCCCTGTTCCTTGCGAGTTTGTTTGGAACTCATATTAATTGTTGCAGTTTGCAAACTGCTCACCACAAATAATGAAAAAATATAGGTACCTTTTATTAGATCAGCTCAGGTAATTTTGAGGGGAAGAAATTGGACACTTTTCGGTGCAAAAGCCACTGAAGAAATAATGTTATTAAAATCACTACCAATGCATATAAACAGGCAAAGACTGCAATTTATTACATAAATATAACATTTTATAGTTGGAATTATGCAATGCAGCCTTTTCCTGAGGAGTGTAAAAATATAACTAATAAAAGGAAAAATAAGTAATATATAGCAAGACCATGTAAAGGAAATATTTTACTGTTGTGTGTGAGATAGCTGTCTGAATAGCTAATAATTAACCTGCATGTCTAATGCATCATTTAAAAGAACCTGATGAAAACATCTAAGGAAAATTGTAATGAAATGTGATAAAAATAAATTACTGAAATAAAGTTCAGAAATACAGATTTTCTTGTGTTATGAAGCAAAGAGAATAAAAATGTGAGCAGCATGGACAGAACAGAATTTGTCTGAGATTAAATAACTTTGGAGAATGATGAGCAAAAAAATGAGTTTGCTCAAAATTTTCAAGAGCATTCTAATACTGGATTTAATGAGAAATCTTTTCAATTGTATTCCTTCTAGAAATTGTATCAGGATAGGAATTAACTCTGGACAGCAAAGGGAAACAAAATGTTCCTGTTGCTGGTAGTATTCACACTGTCATTAGTGTGAGAGCTGCCACGTTTCTTTCCAAAACATTTAGCCAGTTCTCATGGAGTGATGCCAGTGTGGTACCATTGGGATCTTGATTTGCAACAAGTAGACCTGACCAAACAACCTTGAGCAAATGCACGTGAGATGATTCAATTTAAATTAAACAGAACGGTGAACAAACATCGGGCTCAGTCTTGACTTCAGGAGACTCTTTGAGTAACTATGGTAACTGTTTACTGAAAATAATTGGACTGAAAAACTTTTGAAATTGAACATGAAGGTTTAGAATATGTAAATAGATTACTATTTCTAAAATGTGAGTACCAAACAAAGAGATCTCAGTAAAACTGGACTCCAAAGGAATAACCACTCCAAAGGAGGTTAATGGTGCAAATGAGGATCCTAAAAGGGCTTTTACAAGGTATGAATCAGAGAGAGAAAGGTACTTACAACTGCAAAATATGGAGGGAGAAAGTCGGAACTTCCAGTAATCAATCTGAACTACAGGAAGGAAAGAACAATAAAATAAAAAGATTTTTCAGACCCACTATTTTTTTAAAGGCAAAAATGGGAGAACATCATAAGGAAAATGTCACAGATCTTAAAAGTAATCTGGAAAATAAAATCCCCTTCTTTTACAGTTTTCTGTAGGGTGTGAGGCAGGTTCATGCTGCATGGCAAATTAACCCATTTGTTGCCCACATGAAAAGATTCATGGGGAGGAGGCAAAGGTTGAAGAGTTCAACACAACTGGGAACAGCCACTCTATGGCTCCAAATGCTAAAATATCTGATACCTTAGTGCCCGGTTCTGAAATCAGAAACTTGTTATATATTTCACCTTCACATTCCAGTCTTAAAATGAGACAGATTCAATACTTGCATTTAAAAGGAAGAACAAGTGATCCAAGCAACATCCATGCTGTTGAACAATGATCAGAAGACACAGCTGATGGTAGATCCTTGCCAGTCCAATGTCCAACAAAAAGATCTTGTCTTGCAGTAAAAACTCTGCCTTCTATGAGATTGCTACTGTAATAAAATAAATATTTTATTCAGAGCATTTCCCTCTGTTTTTTTACTAAACAAATGTATCATCATTTTCTTTTGGAGAGAGGAATAATTACATCTCATGTAAGTAACCATGATAAAAGCAGACAAGAATTTAACATAACTGCCCTTTTTGCTGCTGTAATCTGACAGAGATTAGGTCCAGGAGCCAAAACATGTACCCAGAATGAACATTAGGGAGCTTGTATGGGAGCTGCCTTGTTCTTCCCAAACACAGAACATGACTGATGCAAACAATACCAACTCATGGACACTTCTGGAGAAATTTAACACAATATTAGGAAATAATTCTGAAGCAAATAAACCATCTTCTGATCATAGCCATGAGCAGTTGCAAATTTTTCTTAATATTACAAACATTATACTAGAAGAGATCCTATAAAATGAGAGTGAACTACAAGAAATCTGTACTCAGTGTGGTTGCTTACAAAGATAAACAGAAACTAAGAAGTCCCATTTTTCTGTTTTATTCTAAATACATGTTTATGGGAATTGCAGCCACTTGATTCACGGGGCAATCAAGGCTGTGTGATTCACTCGAGCTATAAAATAGTGATGGATCCTACACAGGCAATTTTGCATTCCAAAGTTGTGAGGCATCTGATAAACTCCAGGAAATTATTTCCACCAATTCAGACCTTTGCTAACCACAGATGTCTAATTTCTCTAAGATTATTTGCTAAAATATTTGAAAAAATATATTTACAAGAAATATGAATCATAGGAGGGTTTCCACTAAATGCCATCTAAATGTGTTAGATAAAGTGCTTTTGGGACAGAAGTATTATAACACTGAAAAACATAATGGTAATTGTCATTGCTAAAATCCCATTGATGTGTGTCCTGGGCATTCCTAATCTAATGCAGATTAATACAACACCCTGGAGATTTCACTACTGTTAGCAGCAGCAGCTCAGGCCAGACAGCTCTAATGAAGCAACCAGAGCCTGAGCAGCTCCATAACTGAGCACCACAAACCTCACACTGCTCCAAGCCTCAGCAAGGGTCACATGGAGCTCAGATGGATTCAGATGAATAGGAAACATTTCCCTCTAAGTGATTTGCACAAACCTAATCCCACTGCAAAGTTTTGCATCCCTCTCATGTTGCAGCATACTGTGCCATCTCCTGATGTCCACCCTTCCCCATAAAGCAAACAGAAATGGTTCAGGAAAAAGAGCCAAAAGAATATAATCTGAGATCTGGGGAACAAAAAAACTCCTAATACAGAGATTTAAAGAGATCAACCTCTTTAGCTCTGTCAAAGAAAAGAGTAAGGTCTGATATGATCATGTCTATAAGCACATACACAAGGAGTTTTCTGACTGCTCTTCAAATCGAGCAAAGGCATTCTAAGGCTCGAAGCTGATGAACTGTTCAGACTGGAGTAGCTGCAGTTTGTGAACCATGGGAATAAGCCACCACAACTTACCAGAAGATGTAAAAGATTGTTTATTGCTTCAGCCTTTCACTCTAGGTTGGTTGTCACTGGGAGAAACAACCATTAGCTCAGCATGAAGGGCGGTCTCGAGGTAATTCTTAGGTGAAATTCTCAGATTCATGTTTTTCAAGGGAGGTTACTGTTACCACTTTCTACAAAACAAATTATTAGTTAGGTGATCTTAACAAAATTTTATTTTAATTATTGAAAATAAAAATATAGTTATATGAATATACTAGTACTACTACAGGTATTATTTTTAACTTACATCACTAGAGGCTGCATATGAATTTTTCCATCATTAAGAATTATGTTATGAAACAGACATTTTGACATTTCTAAAAATGAAAATAATTGTTGATTCTATTTCCATAAAGAATCCCATTTGTGCCTGAGTCAAAGGAGAGAAGCCTTATCATTTATTGCCTGAAACAGCCTAATGATAGAAAAGATCACTACAAAACATGGCTGCTTTGGCATTTTCACAGCCAGGAAAAAATAATTTCGTCGTTAGGATGCTGTCACTTCTCTTATTTTTGTGGTTCAAAACTTCCTTCAAGGCTTAATAAACCAAAAGATGCTACAGACATGAGAACTCTCACTGGGATATCCCTTGGTCTCAGTGGGCAGTACCATCTACGCCTGGTATTAAAGACAGACCTACAGCTTTAGCTGTTCATTAGGAAATGCAGCTGCTTGAATCTGCCCAGAGATTTGGAATGGCTCAATAAATCCCAGAAAGGATGGCTTGGCAAACAGGGTGTCAGTAAGATGGTCAGTACTGACCACTAGAATTCACAGGTATTGGCAGTTTTTAAAATACAGAAATCAAATTATATCTACTCGATATTACTTGTATTTGTTTTGTTATCTGGCTGTCTACAAACTTGCTCTTTTCTCTCTGCCATCAGTCCCCAGTGTCCTCAAGCTTCTCTTTGCTTAGAGAAAAGGACTTCTAACACTGTAATTTCTAACAACTTTTCTAACCACGTACAGCTCTTGAATCATACAAGCCTTGACTCAATTACCAAGTGGCTCTGACTCAGATGTTCAGAATTTTTCCAATAAGATCATGACTTTGTGCACTTTCAATACCAAAGTGACTTTGTGATGCTAAAAGCAGTCACGGTATTTTGCCATCTGCATACTTGTCCCAGTTGCCAAAGGGATAGTGACAAACAGACCAAGGGGGTTTCTGAGGAGCAGCTCCCATGGAAAACCTGGGAAATGCTCCACTTGGAGCAGCCAGTTTTATTTCTTCTCAGTGTTGGCTTTCTGAAACATGCCAGGTATAGTTCTACTTGCTGTGCACAACATTTGCATTATGCCTTGCTTTTTTGATGATTCACTGGGTCAGCTCATGCAATTAATGTTCTCAGGGATTTTTTTCAGATTAGGCTGAACCTGCCACAGTTTTATCATGTCAGCAGTCTCTACCAATTACTTACAGTGCTAAACATTTGCTGTAGCAAAGGCCTTGATTAAAATGCTGAAGGAAAAGGCCTCATATCAGGGATTTGGAGCACCAAGTTAATTTTTGTGTGAGATTTTCAATACACAACTCCATGAGCTCAGCTTCCTGTGGAAAAGAATTGCTTCTGCTTGTCACTGCCCTAGAGTGAGGAAAGCTCAGATGCAGAGGATTAATTTTGCGTAGACAATTCCTGCATTTTCTGACAGTAGTTATACGCAGCAAGGTTTGTAGGGAAGCAGCAGCTTTGGGAAGCACCTGTGGTTCCAATCTCCTTCCTTCCTCAGGGGTCTTTCCAGCTGAGTATGACTCTAGTGATTCCTGGGAGCTGTAACTAGAGAGACTTCACTTGGGCAGACACTGCAAAATGAGACTGCAAACTGCTTGTGTGCCCCTCCTGCTCTGGGTCTCAGATCAGGGACTGGTCTGAGCCAAGGCAGAGCAGCACAACTCTCACTCAGCTCAGCTGCAGCAGCTGCCCAGGGCCTCAGCTCCTGAGCACAGCAGGCACAGAGATGGGGAATGGGGCAGACAGGAATGAGCTGAGATTTTTGCCTCTAATCCTGCTCCTCCAGTGGACTTCCCAAAACTGGGGCAAGCAGGAGCCTCTCAGACCAAGGCTCTCATTTTTGTTCAAGATTCACATGTCCATCAGCTCAGTGCTCCTGAGAAGTGAGACAGGACAACAACTGCACAGCAAAGCCCTTGGTGCTGAGGACACAGACTCTGCAATATGTGTCACTTTGGTTAAGCTCTGGTGTGGACTGGGAACTGACATTCTCCAGCTACTTAATGGACATCTACAGGTGTTCCTAGAGTCCATTTTCCAGTAATAATTTTAATAGTTTTAAGTAATTTTAAGCAGAAGGAATTTAATCTGTGTGCTCTTAGACACCACTTAGACACCAGTGATGTCAGGCTAGGTGCAGTAAATGGGAAGGACTGAAAGATTTGCTTCAAAACTGCATTGAAGTAGATGCACTCTGTAGTAAAAACTGCATTTCAAGCTTTTAATAAACATTGTCTTGTGGTAGACTCTGAGATTTAAAAAAAATCAAATAAAAAGCAGAGAACACTGTTTTGGAATAAAATGTGAAGCAGCTCAAACTTTCTTAATTTAGTGTAGAGAACTGGGCTTTGCTTTGAAGGTAACTTGACAGATATTAAACAACTGACATGAAGCTTCTCATAGAAAGGTACTTTTACCACAGTGAAGGGTGTGCTAGAAAATCCTGCCTGTCTCAAAGAGTGAACACATTCCCCTGTGCTCTGGGACAAAATCAAGACTCAGTGAGGTAGGATGAGGTGCTTCTGTATCCTCCTTACATTGCAAAGCCACAAGGTATGGCATAGATAGAAGGAGATTCAGCTGTCCTAGGAGCAGCTCTAATAATAATTGAGTAGGGCATTTATCACAGAAAACAGAATGATAAAATAGTAATTTACAATTAGTTCCAAATCAGGTTAGAGATAAAAATATCAAGCTAATTGGCTTGCCAGGCAATACTGAGTGGGAGGATCCTACAGGATTTCTGGAGCCTTGGTTCCCAGTGACTCTGTTGATTGACAAAGTAAAGCTGGTTTATGTGAAACATGTCCTTCAAGAACCTCATAGAAAGGAACAGATACAATGAAATTCCTCAAGGGAATAAATCACAGCTTTACTACTACCAGGACAATCACTCACATGGCTAAAACGTAGTGCAGTTTATTTAGGGATGACTGTGTTGCCAGACTAGCCAATAACAGGAGAAATTGCAGTCTGAAGTTCCTATGAAAAGCCAATTTTCAGGGGCTGTGGTTCACAGCTTTCAATTTCACCCCTGCTGTGAAAACTGATGTTCAAAAAAATAATATCAAATTCTTAACTTGTATAATTGCATTTCAAATGACATACACAAGTACACAGCTGACTAGCAAAACGGTCTGATACTTAACCTCAAAAGCTTTAAAGAAGGCCACTTTTTGTAATTTAATCTCAAAATTTGTTTCATAGGAAATTTCTATGTTTCTCTTGCTGTCACAGTTCTAACTTTGCCATTGCTGATGATCCACATCAACAAGACATGACCCCAAGAGAGATTTTCACAAGTATTCACTTCACTTCAGAGCTATCCAGAGCTTTGTTACATACTACAAAGGGACTCCTCATCCCCCAGCTTTGAGAGAACTTGAGGAAATAAACTCCTGGAACTGACTGCATGGCTCCACACCAACAACTACAGCCAAGTTTTCCCAAACATTTCACTTCCCTGCAGAAATGAGCACTGATGGTGCTTGCACAGCAAACAAGCTTTGCAGAAAACCTGGTCTGGGACTCCAGAAACCTGATCAAATCAGGGAAGAGTGCTCAGAACTGAGGCAATAACTGTGCTGGTACCTGAGACTGCTATAAGAACTAATTTAATTAAAGACAATAGCAGTGCATAAAGGAGATGTGAATCACATTTTAGGGATTATCTAAATGGGAAACTAAATAATTGTGGTTTATATTGAGATGGGAAGACAGAAATGTAAATTTTACTAATTTAGGTACAATAATGAGGCCTGATTATACAAGTTTTAGAGATAAAAATACTCTGAAGGTGCAGCTTTAAGTAATGCCTGAATCTCTTTTAAAGTCTAGGGAATTATATGAATATGTAGCTGTTTAAATATTTTGTAATTAACTTCACAATTCAAATCAAATTATCTGAAATATTTAATAAATGCACTTTAACAATACACTTAATATACAGTATATACCTCAGGTCCATGAAGTTGATGAAGGCACCATAAGGAACACATTTATTTGAACCACAGGAGCTGCTGCTGCCACCCAGGGGAAAGAGACATGACTGTGGCACTATAATTAGAGACAGTGTGATGGCAGAGGGACACGGGGAAAGGACAGGATGCAAGATACAGAGAGTTCTCCTGAGGTGTCAAGAAGTCTCACTATAGCTCAGGAAACAGGGTGGGAAGGGAGCACATAGAGCTATTATGATATAAAGTTTAGCTGCAGAGAACTCAAGGGATAAAACCAGATGAGATTCTACTGAGAGCTCGTGACAGGAGTCCCCAGTGAGCCAGAGGAATCCATCCCTGTGCATTTGGGTTTCTGTACCTGGGGAGAAGAAACAAGAGAATCTCTGGTTTCATTTATGGGTATGAGCAATTAAATGTACACAAACCCAAGGTACAGTGACACACACACAGAGGGGTGTTGGAACTTTCAGAAGAAACAGAACAAGATTTGGGAAAAGATGTTTCAGCACCACACCTAGAGAGCACTTTAAAAATTCCACATACCCATGAAACAAGATTGGAACAAAGCAGTCTTATTCCACCACTGTCGATGTGGATAAGAAGCAGGACTTGCAGGATTTCCATCTTTTGTTTTCTAAGAGCTGTGGTCAGAGGCTTCATTAGATCATGAGTGACCAACAGCTCCTTGGAACAGCAGCCGCCATGTCATTCAAATTCCAAATGTAGATTAACATGCTGCTGCAACAGAAAGCAAGCTAAAACGTGTCATTAGTGGCCTTTCACTGACGTAATTTAATCAATTTGCAGCTTCAGAAGGAATGAATATAATCCCATGGACATTGCCAGAAAGCCTGAGCTATGTACAGTGTTTGGAAACAAAAGGTCCATCATATTTCCCTTTTTATGTGCTAATGCTTTGATTTCCAAGCTGAGGATTAAAACTCCCTAAATTTCCCCAGGTAACCACACTCTGCACGCTCCATGTTTATTTGCTAACACTGAGTAAAACTCACTGATACCTGTTTCTCTAATTTGGCAACTCCTCTAAGGCTATAATCACTTCAGCCACTTTGCAGTGGAATTGCTCTTGAGTGGCGCTGGGTCCCAGAGATGGGCTCTGCTCAGCTGCCTGGGCTCTGGCTGTGTGCAGATGTGCTGCAGGAGCAGCAGCACAGCTCCCAGACCTGCTTCTGACAGGAATCATCTGCAGGTCCTGCAGGAGCAGCAGCACAGCTCCCAGACCTGCTTCTGACAGGAATCATCTGCAGGTCCTGCAGGAGCAGCAGCACAGCTCCCAGACCTGCTTCTGACAGGAATCATCTGCAGGCCCTGCAGGCCCAGCTCTACTGGCAAAGGGAGCAGAGAGAAGGAGCTGAGTGTCTCGTGGTGAGTGAGTCCCAGAGAGCTCAGGGGTCCCAGATCCCAGAGTCTGTGTGTGCAGGCTCTGGAACACCTTCTCATCTGCCCTGCGTTACAAACAGGGGCCACACAAACTTCAAAAGCTCTGTTTGCAAGAGGCAGCACAGCACTGAATCAGACGCACACACAACAAGGAGTTTGATCCAAGTTTCACAAAACTGTGTTTGGGCATAGCCACAGTGTGTAAACAAGGACCCAAGGTCTCCAACCCTGGAAAATTTCCAAGGTATAAGCATGGTGGTTCTCTCTGTTCCTTCCTCACCCCACTGATCTGCTGAGAGAGAACAGAAGCACATCACAGCCAGCATCCTTCAGTGTGCATTTGCCTGTATCCCTGATGCATATACTTTTAAAAGTTTCACTCTGTGCATACTGGCAATGAAAGAAAACATTCAAAGATGAAAGAGGTAAAAAGAAAATGGAAAAAAAAAATCTCTAGATTGTCTTCCTTGGGAGTTGGATTATGTGATCGCTAGAAGTCCTTTCCATCCCTAACAATTTATGCTTTAACGAGTTGTTATTCACATATCTTGATTATTCTGTCCTGAAAGGTCATTTCAATACAGAAATATATAAAAATATAATTGGTTTTCTAAACTAGGCTTCTTCAGCATACTCAATGCTTGTTTTCCCAATGTCTCATCATATTTCCTGCAATCCATATCCTTCACACATCAGCAACATACACATTTTTGGTGTAAATCTGTTTAGCTCCATCCAAATAATTACTAGCAGAGAATCTGGCCTCATAAATTCAGTAGATAAATTGTCTTGGACCAGACTACAGTGTCTTCAAAGCTATAATTTATCTGCACATTCTACAGAACAAGATAAGAGTCTCAGGAGACATTTTTATCAAAGAATCCCATCCCTAGTCCCTCCATTCTGCTAAAAAAAGAAAAAAAATATAAACATCTAAACTTCCCTTTTTGTACAGAATATTAAAAACTTACTGAAGACTTCATGTGGCACATGGAGGACAATGTTCTACATTGTTGCAGAACTGAAGGGATGAAAAGGGGACAAAAATGAAAGGTCAGAATTTTAGATTGTTAGAAAAGTACATTACTTATTTGTTCAAAAGACTATGTATAGGAAATAGTTTCTAGAAATCACATGTGGAAAAATAATTAATCCACTCTGAATAAATTGATGAAACTTCTGTCTTTCACCAGATATTCCTAAATTTTTCTCAAAGCAGTATTTCTTCTCCTGCCATTTTTGTGTACCTTGAAAACAGTTTTGAATACAAACCAGTCTGTTCATTAAGGCAATTTAAATATAGATTAAAATCTTATCTCTGGCAGTATCTGCTAAGTACAGCCACCTGCCTGTACTGAAATCTTCCTGCATGACATACCTACTATCATCCCCAGCAATTTGTCCAGCTACTCTTTCTTATCCAAAAATAGACCAAAAATATGAGCATCAGCCTCCTGCAGTGCTGCCCCTGCCCCAAGAGCCAGGCTTCCTCAATCCTGGGAATGGTCCCACTTGGAATCTGCACCAGTGGGACCCTGAGGCTGCACACGCTGTCAGGAGCAACAATGAGCTCAGATCAGCAGGCGTGGCACTCACAACAAAGCCCTGCTAGGCTACCTTGTGCTGATGGATTGGAAAGTTAAAAACAGGAGTATTCAACTAAAATGAGAATTTGCAGTGACAGAAACATAACATGCACTTTCCTGTTAAGGAAAAATCTGGGACTTGGATCAGCACGAGAACAGAAGGAGAAGAGGCACAGCAGAGCTAAACCAAGATGGTGCCAGCACCACGTCCTCAGACACAAACATGACTGAGGGAGATGACGACAGCTTGGTAGCCAGAACTGTGAAAGAGATTGCACACAATCCTACCCTAGTAACTGGGAGAGAAAAGTTTCAGCGTTTATAATCCTCTCTAACAGAAACATTTACTTGCAAAATTCAGGTAGCAGAATGAAAATGATAAAGAATTGCTGTGTAGTTTGGAGTGAGGAGAAATTCCTGCCACTCCTAAAAGAGCTACAAGAGCTTAAAAATTTATGAAAACGTGACAAAAGGGAGAAAATACTTGAACTTGCGCATTCCTTCCAGCATTGAGCTGCCTCTACAGTGCTGCCCTGGTTTGCTGCTCCGTGCTGAATGGCAGAGGCAGCAGGTTCCCACCTGCCAAGGCCCATTGGGTGCAGCCAGTCCCAGGTACCAGGTCTGGCTGTGAGATCAGAGGCAGGTACAGCTCCTCTGCCTGCTGCAATAAATACAGGGACTCCACTGCAAACAACTGCAGGAATCACTGGTATTTCTGCAAAACCAAACCAAAGCACCTAGGCCTCTGCCCTAGAAATGATCTTGAAGACACAGACACAGCTCCAGGTCTGCAGCTGTTCCCAGGATTTTGTAGCTGAGAAGAACAGAAGAACTTTGTGGCACTAGTCGAAGACCTACTCTGAAACTGCTTCAAGCACTTGGCACAGAGAGACATTTTCTAAACATATACTACTGGAGAGAAATGCTTCCATAGCACCATATTAGCACCATATGGATTGGTATTTTATATATATTTATTTATATATATGTATGTATGTATTTTTTGCTATTGTCTTGTAAACTACAATAATTTAGAGCATGCTTAATCAGCTTCAGTGACAGTTTCTGTGTTGAAAGCAAGTGTTAAGTTTGTTTTTAGCCAAAGAGAGGGAATAATTTTTTTTGTAAAATTCTGCCCAAGGCTTGTAAATGATATCAGAGAATGATGTTGAGGAATATGTTTGTTTGGTTAGATTAATTCAATATTCATCAATTAATTGCTTATAGATTATATATTTCCCCCCAAATAAACAAGAATCTTCAGATATTGCTAGCCTTAAGGTTTCATCATTTTTTGATACAGACCATATGGTTATATTGGGTCTAAGCCTCATTCTTGGCATATAAGAATGAAAATGTTGCAGTATCTAAAGAAAAAAGGGAAAGCAAAAATTTAAGGGAGAGAGAAGGACAGGGTCCTACATATCTTTCAGATGAATTACAGTTTTAGAGAAGAATTATCCACTCTAAATAATAAGCTCTTCCACTGCCAAACCTCTTTTATGTCCTAGCCTCAAGGAACAGCTTTTTATTCAAAACAAACAAATCCAAAACTTCTCTGAGCAAAGCAAACAACCAGAAACCCAGGAGGCTCTGCTTTGGTACCTCTTCCTAATCAGGAGGGAAGAGGAACTGGGAGGAGACACAAAGCAACATCCCTGCCTGCACAAGGCTGCTGAGCCATGTGACAGGCAGCCAGCTCTGCGTTTCTGTTTTGTCCTGCCACATTGGAATGCAGCACGAACATCATATGCTACTAAGATCAATATTGCTGGTATATTTTCATCTCCCCCAAAGCAACATATTTTCCACAGTTTTTATTTCAAGTTTGACTGAATTACAGTGATTCCTATAAGTTATCATCCTTCTAATGGCACAAGCTGGCACTGGGGCTGCAGGAGCTGGGGCATATTATGGACTATTTCACTTCGTTAGCTGAGGAAATCCATTTAGACTTTTATGCTGAGTAGTGCAATACTAACACAAGGAGACATTTAAACAGGACAAGAAAAACACCTCTGTTTTCACTTTCACAGACATTAAACAGTGTTTATTTCCTTCTAGGACTCACTAAGATTCTGCTATAAATGTGATAAAGCAGAAAAATACTCTTCACTAAAACTGTTCTGACACTTGACATCAGGAGATGCAGTTTTTAGTTAGTTATAATTTTGCCAAACTTCACTCATTTAGTCTGATCATTCTGATGCTGAATATCACCTGCAGGGCAATTTGTTTTCTTCCTTTGCAGACAGATGGTTTAGGTGGTTGTAACAACAAAGAGAATGGAAAATTGCTTTGCTAAAATACAAAATAAGTTTGGGCAATTTTTCAAAAGCAACCAACTCCATTTTCACCAAACTTTCAGTGCTGGGCAATGTCCATGCTGCTACTGAAATCCACATTCCAAGTCCATTCACTTCCTCACTCCATCTTGTCCCAAAGCTCTCAGGATGTTATGCTTAAAAGAAGCCAATGACCACCTTGGCATACATTTAGAGAGCAGTCTCCAGAGAACTGCAGAACACCAGACAAACAGGCCTTCAGTGGGCTCTAAAAGAATAAATTAGAATGATCTCCTGTTTTAGAAGAATACAGAGACTCCAGAGCAAATAAAAAGGAATGCTCTCACAGTCAAAATGGCTCAAAACTTGAGTAATGAATCTTACCTGCATTAATTTTTATGCATAGAAACTTTGCATAAAAGAGAAGACTGGTCACTCAAGTTAATCCAGTAGTCTTTATGCATAAAATATTATCTCTATTGCCCTTTTCTGCAAGGATATTTTCATTTATTTTTGACAGAATAGATTAATTTCCCGTTGGAAGAAGCCTTCTTTGTTTACTCCATATCTTAAGCAAAACCAAACAAAATAATCCTACAGGCATTCTTTACTCTTTCTTTGTGTTATTATTGTATCTCCTTCACAATAAAATTCAAATCTAATCAAGTTCCAGCTGGGAAAGAGCAGAGAGCATGAGCCTTGTCAAAGGAAGGGAGGTCCCAGCCACCCACGCAGGGACAGGGCTGGGAGGTGCCACTGGAGTCAGGTGGAAGGTTTCACTGGGACATCCCAAGAGGGACAGGGAGGTTTGTCCTGCCCAGTTGCTGGCTGTGCAGAGCCAGTGCCAGGGGCCTGGAGAAGAACCCCTGCCCCAAGGCAGAGCAAGGCCAGATGAGGTGATGGGGTGGAGCGGCACTGAGATCCCTCAAGGAAGACAGAACTGGGAATTAAACATCAAGCCAGGCCATTTTCCCAGGCCAGCAAGATTCTCAGACAAGCGAACAAAAAGGGAAGAACTCCTACAAAACAGGCCTTCTCCTGGAGTCAGAATTTAAGGAAAGAACAATTGTGCAGGGAGAAGCCAAAATTTTGTGAATATTCAAGAGGCTCTTTCATGTCACATCACACCCACATAACGGCCATTAGAGATGGCAGAAGGGTTAAATACACCTCTCTGAAACAAAGGGGAAACGTCACTACTGGAGCCTCTTGCCTGGTGCTGGATCCATTTTATTCTGAAAATAGCATGTGCTAACTGGCAGGACTTGCCAGCACAGCTGAATTAGTCAGAAAAGCTGTCAGAGAGGTGGGAAATCTCCAAGTCTCTTTGCGTGCTCCAGGGCTTGTTTCGCCGTGGCACAATTACAAATACACAGCTGTAAGATCTGCTGTGCTGCTGGCTCTGAAACAACAGTTCAGGGTCTACTTTTTTATGAATTTGGCAATTAATGTTGACAAGAGCTGCACACACACACAGAGGAAAGCACAGACTTAGTTTTCTCCCAGGTAAAAAATTTCACACAGATGGCCTGTGCTTAAGGATAGAATAAGTTCTTCAAGCATGCAAGTTCCTATAGCTGGCTGATTCTTTGAAGCCACTGCTCTCCTTCATTGCTCAGTTATAGTAATAAATTTGTTATTGCATTACAGACAATCCATAGATTAATATATGGGCAAATGTAAACCTTTACAGAATATTCACACAAAGGCTGGGTAATTGCAGCAGAGAAACCCATTGCCTTGCCTGAGGTCCTGTCAGATCTCACAGAACTGACCACGTCAGGCCAAGCAGTCATAGACAGAAATTCAAAAATCAGAACTCAAACCATGGTAAAAGGGATTCTGCAGATGAAAATCATGAGGTTTGAGATAAAATGGCCTTTGAAACCTTTAATTACATATGCATAGTCTCTTTGTACATAAATTATACTGCATATTCTTTCCATATCTTTTGCATAAAAAGTAAAAAGAGTTTGTGCATTAAGACCTGGTGGTTCCCAGATTTCTATTTAGCAAAGGGTCTGGGGGAATTCTTAAAAGGGAAAAAGGAGAGTGCGGGAAATAACTGCAATGACAAGAACATGTACATGGAAAAACCATGATGAGATCATTGGGCAACTTTAAGAAATTAGCTACTGATTAGTTACTAATCATGGGTGTTGTTCTCACCACCTCTGTCAGAAGCCTGGTGGTGTAACATTACAAGCAGTAACCACTCACGTATCCTGTTCTGTGCGTTTCTGGAATTAAATATTTTCTGATTCACCCTGAGGATTTTGCTCCCTGGGAACAGACCAGATGGGCTCTCAGAGATCTTGAAGTCATGGGAATAATTCCTAAAGCTAATGAGACTTATGAAATGCAAAGGTTCTATGAAGGTAAAATGCATCTCAAATGACCAATGAGCAATTTTGGAGGCTCCAGATATTCCTTTCTTCTCTTCCTTTCTCCAGGCCTTCCAGGAGAAACAGGTGAAATACCTGGGGCACTGCTATGGCCAGGCTGAGTTGTTCCAGCTCAACTGAACCCAACAAAGCCTCCACTGCCTGACTGCAGGTAACAAAAGCAATGCTACAGAAGTTAAGGTTGCCATAAGACAATCCAAACCAGCCTTTCCCACTGGGGTTTGAGAGGGTTTAGTACCCAACAAATCCATGTTGAGCGACTCTTGCTTTACCACTATCAATAGCTCAGTCCTTAGACTTCAGTCTGAGAAGTACTTGGGGCACCTGACCTCAATGCATTTGCTTCTTATGCACCCTTCAGGTTAGACAGCGTCTTCTTAAATGAAACTAAAATATTCTAGTATCAGCTTTAGACTTTGCCTTCATAACTGGTGGATTAATTTGCAGATATACTCACTTGAATTAATTTGTTGTTTCAGCTAAGCTGAATCAGTTTAGTTACTGCATTTTTCATCTTTGAGCAACTTAATTTATGCTTATTCTGTTTTCAATAAAAACTATTAAAAGCATGGAAAAATTACATTTCCTAGATTATATGATAGGCTATGAAAACATTGGCATAGACAACCTCAGATAAGAAATCTCTAAGGCACTTGGCTTTGCTCATAATGTAAAATGTATTTCTATCTAAAGGCAGCTATGACCTGAATGCCACAGTCTGTGCCTGTGAAAAATAGACAATGTAGAATCAGATGAGAAATAATGGAATTATGAAAATGGAGAAGGGACCAGTATAAAAACTGTACGATTTTTTTGTTTAAGTGTTCTGAATAGGAAAATGCTGTTCATAAAGATGATCACTACTGGTGTTCCTCAGCTTCACATCTGGGACCATGTTTATTTAGTATTTTAATTAATAGTGTTGGTTCAAAAAGTAGGGGAGCACTTATGGGAGCTCCTGATGACTGAGGGAGGCATAGTCAGCATATGCTGAGGCTAAATTATACACAGGAATTTTATTTGTTGAGGATCTTGTTTAAGAGAATAAATAAGGAGGATAAAAATTTAATAACACATAGCTACTTCTAATAAAAATAAAATGTTACTATGAGCCTTAGCTTTACCTGTGGCCAGTGACAGAGGAAAAAGCCTTCTCTTTATTAGGAAATCTGAAGCTGATCCCCAAGTCCCCTGTGTACCATGGGCAGGACATGAGAGTGCACAGCTGGGGAGAGAAAGGTAAGGAGGAGGCAGAGAAGTATCAACCACTGAGTGATTTACCTCCTCTAGAACTCTGGGAGGGGGGTTTTGTAAGGAATAATCTCCTCAGTGAGGTCAGTTTGAGGGACCACTATAACAGGATGAGGAATTGAAAGCCTTTTTTAAGGAGAGTAGAAGAGCCAGCTTGTCTAAAAAAGGGTGAAGAAGAGAACTATTATTTGTTTTAAACACTTTAAAAGGGCAAATACTCAGACAAGTGAGGAGGAAAGGCTAAAACATCTGCATCCCAAATCAGTGGCTGGAAACTGGCTGAAGTAAAATGAAAGCTGGAATAAAATTCTGCTACAGTCCTCCAAGAAGAGCTTCAGGGCAACTTAGATTTCTGAGAGTAAGCCTAATCCACTTGCCAGAAGGGTTTGTACTGATATTATTGCTCATGATAGGAATGGCTTGGACTCTTGACCCAAGTGATGCCTCTTCTTTTTATTCCCTTGGAGCTTTATCAGAGAGTGGATTTCCTCAGGGCTGGCTCGGTATCACTGTGTGTTATCAGACAGAAGACAATGTGCTACTTCAAATCTGATGGCACATCACTGGAATTTCAATTATACACTGCCATTTTAGAGAGCTCCTAAACTCTTTTCAAAAATCAGGCTGTAGGTTTTTTTAAATGGATTTGAGAGAAATTTGTCAGAAGTGTAATATTTAAAATGACTACTCAGATTTCTTTAATTTTAATCCTAAGATTAATTGAATACCAGTTAGTTGGTAAGCCCAGAGCAGAATTCTGGCATTTTGGTTTCCCCTTAAGCAGTGGTTAGCAAGGTTACACTCAGCTGATTAGAGTCGCTACCAGTTTTAGGCTAACTAAGTATTGGTCATGGTGTCTTCCTAATATAAGACTTTGAGGTGATAAACATCAATTCACCTTACAGGTGAATATTTCAGATGGCAAAACCTCTGGGGTTCTTCAGATAAAAGCTGTGTAAAATGTGATCTGTCATGAGATTAGTACAGCTTGATTTGGGGTGCAAAGTAGGAGTTATTTGCCACTTGCATTTTCCTTGCTGGATCAAGTAATGTTTCTGCATTTTGGTGTCAAGGATTTTATAAGGTTACAAGTCCTCAATAATTAATCAAACTATTTTAAAAGTTGACTTTTCATGACAACTGTAATAAATGGTGTGCATCTTCTGAAAGAAAGGAATTTATGAAAGAGAATTACACTTGCTAAACTCTTGTTGTCAGAGATGTCTGTGTTTGAAAACTGTCCAGAGTAAATAAACCTTTCTGCTGTACAACCCCCAGCAGGGAACATAAATGGGCAACAAAAACCTAAACAAAACAAAGCCACTTTCCTGCAGCTTAGGAACTTCATTGGTTGTGCATATTCACATTCATTCACATAATAAAACAATTTCATGGGGAGGAAAAGAAGTCATGTGATTACCAAAGTCATTCCAAGGATAAAAGCATATTTTTGAGCTTGAAAAGCACAGTTTCAGATGGAGGCTTTGGAAAGAATAAAAAGTCTACTTGTCCAATGTTCAGAGCCTCCTAAGCATTAAAACAATAAAATTGCCTGTGTTCTTAGTGAAATACAGAACAAACACAAAAAAAGCCAAACCCCAAACACCATTTAAATCTCAAATTAGGGAAACATAATGAACAGGCAATTTTAATCAGTTTTTCCATCAAGAAAATGAAACACAAAACCAGATTTTTCTTGAAACACACTCTCATTTTTTGTCTTTTCCTTTTGTTCCACCCACAGTCTCTTGATTGATTTGAGCACACAAATCCAGATCCTAAAAATTCACAAAACAGGCAGTTTGAAGGGAAAACACTGATGTAACACACCTTCTCAGGACAACAGAGTGAGTTCTGATAAATAAAGACATGGAAAAGAAAAACTGTTTTGAATCTGAACCACATTAGATACTGGGGTCCCTCAAGTGAGATGTGAATAAGAAGATAATATTGTTATTAATATCAGAGCTTACAGAACTACCTCTGTCATGTCTCAGTATAAATTAGCTTTTCGGTAAAATATTGCATTTAAATGTATTTTTAGACAATTGCAAAACCCACACCTCACTATGTGATATACAATGCAGCCATAATTTAATTCCTGCAGAAATAATTGACTGATTTTACTCTACCAGCAGGAGAGATGCTGATAAAAGTACTCAGTGGGCTAGACTCAGGTGAGGACAGCTCTGTGTGGGATAGGGAGGGTCTTCACCCCTGCTCCCACTTGGGATCACCCAGCTCACACCTGGGAAAGAGCTTTCTGCATGATTCACTCAGAAAAGTCAGGCTCCTAAAAGCAGGTGTGACAACAGAGCGCATGGAGAGTGGTGGGACACTTCAGCCAACCAACAGTAGAGACTGAAGAGTTTTCTCAAAAATCCAATCACCTCTGGTCTAACACATGGACTTGCAAAGACATTTCAGACCTGGGATTAACCTGTCTGGTTTAAGGATAAGCCTGCACTGCACTGAGTGAAGAGCTGAGTTAGTGCTGGAACTGGAAAGAGCCAAGGGTTGCATGAACACTAATCAGCTTTACTGGGGGAAAAGTACTTATGGATTTTATCCTCTAAGAATGCACCAAGTATCACCAGCCCTGAAGTGAATCTCAAACCTTGCATGGATGGCCTCTCCATCACACTATGAAGTTTTTCTCCCTCATTCTCTTCAGCTTCCTTGATTTGTTTGTTTTTTTCCCTAGCCACTGGCAAATTTGTAATCTCATGGCAACAGCTCTTCTGTGGCACAGGAATGACAAAGGTTTGAAGTCCATGGAGCCCATAAGAGGCAAAGAACCAAGATGTCTCAGTGCCATGTGGGGCAGTGACCACCACTGCTCCCTCTCAGCTTTGATCCTTCTTCATGCTGATCCAAATGGTGCCTCTGTGTGTGTCCCACCAAGGTCAGGCACCTCAGAGGCCAAAGATCCCTGAGCTTATTAATCCCAAAGGGAGAGACCAATACGTACCAGGGCACTGGTCAATTATTTTGAATTTCATTGAGTTCTCTCAGGAAGTGAGAGGTCAACACATAATTACAATCCCCTTGGCCTACTGCTGTCCTTTTGTAAGCAGTGGTCTCTCAGGAACACAGGAAAGTGTCTGGTTTTTATATGCATTGACATTCTGAACATGCCATGCAGAAAACCAGGGGATCAGTAAAAACTGTATTTTAGAATAAGTTATACGGTTTGCTTTTCCCAGCTTCCAAATAGGAAACAGCAGTTTACAGAGGAAGCACTCTCTTGTGTTCATATTAACTTTCTGAAGCTGTACTATGCAATGTTCTTGCATTAGAGCTCAAAGAATACTCAATGTCATCTTTTAAACATCCTTGGAATTTGGGCAGATCTCATGGGAAGTTCAGGTTCACTTTAGGAAAGAAACACAAGTACAAATTTACACAGTGCAAAACCATATCCAGCTATGCCACAAGAAATGCCCAAAGAATCCAACTTACTTATTAAACAGTAGTTCTGCAGGAAGGAACAAAAGGTGTTTTCCTTCTCCCTGCTCCTAAGAAGCCCTTGAAGCCAATTCTGCCCTTGTGCAAATCACCTTCATCAGAGCAGCCACCCAGGCCCAGGTTCCAAGCTGGAATGTATTCAGCCAGGGCAAAGGGAAGAGCTGCTGTTCCCACTGGCCAGGAGCCAGGTGCCCTGTGAATACTTCTCAGCTCCTGAATTGATGGAGCTCCTGTTTCTCCCTGAGCATGCACATCCCTTCACCAACACTCTCCTACACACTGCTTACAGAAATATTTTACAATGCAAATATAACTCTGAAGTTCGATCTACAATAGCATTTAACTGTTCTTTTAGCAGTGTCCTTAGAAACTGTCCTTAAACTCCCTGGAAATCCCCAGATCACAAACTGATAACTGCTCTGAGTCAGGAAACGTGGTGTCTGTCTCTAGAAACCACAGGCTGGAGACCTGGGGACTGAAATGGATTAGAAATTATTCCCCTCCTCCCCACACAGCCCTTCCATTTACCCATTGATTTAACAGTGAATATTGCTTTGTTGCTGGACTAACTTACACAGAAATTTTAAACTGACCACTATATTCATCTCTTAGGGTGCTCTGAACAGAAGGTTAAGTGTAAGTAATATCCATAAATTTACTATCAAATAAGGGATTTTCTTACTTAAAACATTCTGTATAAACAGAATACACACAAACCAGATGGGTTCTTGTTGCAATTTTCTGATGTCTGTTCTTATTAAGCTCTTCCAGTGGCTTTCACTGCACTTTAAAAGCTGGATTTGGTTCTACCACTGTCTGAAGTCAGGGGACCCTGGACTTCCAATTCCCACAGTTTTTATCTCAATTGCAATTCCTGTTTTAAGTCATCCCACTGTGCTCCCTAGGATAACTCAGAGTTGAGACCCACCAGTCTAGCTGCAAAGCTGTAGGGTCAGCTCTACATTCATATACCAATTTTTTATCCTTTTTTGCTTTGCAGTAGGACAGATAAAATATATGGTATATAATACTTGTTGTTTTTTTTTTTTTCTTGCCATATGGACTTCAGTTAATAACACAGAATTTGAACCATAAAATGTCTTTAAAAGTTCCCCCCCCCCCCGCCATTTACAGAAATGGAACTGTCTGCCCCAATGTAGAAGAAAAAATGATAAATTTCAATCGCACTTGAAGTTCTTTTCTCTTTTTATGCGATTTAACTGGAGGAGAGCTTATACTATTTTCCAGGAACTATTTTGGAGAAACGAAGTTTCATCCAGAACCTCTATTTTAAATTTGTGACATTGCAATGAAATCAACATGAATAAAGGAAATTCTGGATGCCCCAAAACTTTACTTTCCCTGACACAAGTCAAAAGCACTTTTAAGACTTTATGAGAAAACTATACCAGAAGGTACCTCTTTAACCATAATCTCAATTTCTAATGGGGAAGAAAGGATGAACAGACACAACCAGCTGCTTTCAGCACCTACAGAATTGTTAGGTTTTAAGTTAAAATGTCACCTATTGAAGTAAAAAAAAAAAAAAAAAAAAAATTCAAAATCTGATTGTGAAAACAGGTACAGTGGGCAGAGGAAGGCCTGGAGATTTATTAGTGGGACAGGACTGAGCTCTGAGCTGAGGCCATGCCCAGGAGGGGTTTCAGTCCAGAGGATGATGCTGCAGGGCCAGGGGAAGGGCAGCGCTGCAGGGCACGGCCCTATCCCCGACCCAGGCTGGCCTCGCTAAGCCGAGCTCATGGCAAGGCTCAGCTTAAGAGCCACAGCTCTGTGTCCAGCTGTGCCCAGCTGTGCCCGCTGTGTCCCTGAGCAGGGCCGCAGCTCTGTGTCCAGCTGTGCCCAGCTGTGCCCCGCTGTGTCCCTGAGCAGGGCCGCAGCTCTGTGCCCAGCTGTGCCCAGCTGTGCCCCGCTGTGTCTCTCAGCAGCGCCCGGCAAAGGCCCCGCTCCGAGCACTGCCCGCAGCGGCTGCACAGGGAGGGAAGGAAAGGGAACACAGGCACACAAAGAAAAATGAGGAAGCAGCAAGGAAAGAGACACTTGAATCACAAAATGGAAGGTTAGGAGCAGATTCCTAATCCTGGGCTGCTCACTAAACTTCCCCCAAGAAAAACTTAATTCTAATTTCATTTGCCTCATCGGTGTACAATTTGCACGCTACAAACAACTTACTGTTTCTCAGAGTACTCTGAAGCTACTAGAGGCTTATTAATAAAGATGAGACTGAGTTACACTGAAGGAAGAGAGAAAAGAGAAATTTAGAAAAATAATTAGAATAACATGGGAAGAATTTGCAGACGATTTGAGTTACGGTGCAGCAATAAGAGAAAAGCTGAATCAAACGGATTCAGAAAAATTATCAGCAGAGTCCTTCCAGCCCAAGCTGTCCACAAGACTGACCACAGAGGTCTGTAGGTGACCTGCTGGTGACCTTTGAATCTTTGTCATTCACGATAAAGGGTTATTTTCCTAATCCTAGTTCATTTTCAAGCACAGCAGATTAACAAGAAGGGATCACTATCAAGCTGAATAATCTCCTAGCTCTAAATAATCACTGAAAGAGGAGCAGAAAAGGAACCATAATAATTTCCTTTTAATATTATGGATGAGGAATATGCAACAGGCTAACACAGAAAGGTGCTAGCATGCTGTATTTTAATAACAATTGGGCTTTTTTATCCTAAAATGAACCCAGTCAAATTAAAAAAGTGGTCTTATTTATTTCACCCTACAGTGTTACCCACATACAGAATTATTCAAGCTAAGGGGAAAATTATTGGTTGTCTATCTAGCAAGTTGCATCAGATTAAAATATGGTATGAATTTTAAACAGAACTGTTCCTACACACATTTATTTCAGGGGAATTTAATTTACTTAGAGAGAATTAAGCTAAAAGAACCAGACTTGCTGAGTTCTCAATAGCGGGGTGCCCAAATTCAGCTATACTGTGTTTTATGGCTACTTTTCAAATTTTCTTAGGCCCTGGAAGTCACCTTCCTTTGCTGAACAACAAACACAGGACATTCACATGCTCCTACAGCTCTTAACTCAGTTCCTGCCAGCTCTCATACACTTCCAGGAAGAATTCAGCTCTCCAATTTTTTATGTGTACATATGTGTGCACACAGACATATAAACACAGTTTCCTGAATTTAACTGAGAGAGCTACAACACAATCTAAAATCCTAAATTCTTAGAGAATTAAAATGGAAACCATAGAACAGAAAGGGAAACTTGGCAATTTTACCTTGCATCAGAGGAAGATAAGAAGTAAGAGATTTAAGAGGAACAATATTGCCCACATTACACAAAGAAACACCTGAAATATGTGGAAAACAAAAACATACTGGCCAATATCCAAATCAATGCACCTGTTGGCAACAGGCATCGTGTCTCTTAGTCTAACACCAGGAGTATGTTTGCTCAAATCTCATCAGGTGCCCCTCATTACTGCCTGGCATTTTTAAAAAATAATGTGAGTTCTAGAGAATTTAGAGGAATTATTTTTCTATTGCTCACAGCATAACTCTCATTAATCAGTACGAGTTTTCCTTCCTGTGAGCAGGAGCACAATCTACCAGAGTGGAACACAACTCTTCCTCTGATTCATTGGTTACACAAGGTGAAAAGAGAGGAATTGGCAACCCCTCCTGCTCCTAGGTGATGCTGCAAGATCACTGCTCAGGGTTCCTAAGCACACAGATAAATCTTCCCCCTGACACAGCAGGGAAAGAGTGAACCAGGCATGGAGGAGCCTCCCAACTTCACCTGTCAAAAAGACAAACTGAGCAAACCTTGTTTGCTCCCTCAGATTTATGGGATATTATTTACAAGATCTGTGTGCTGTTACTGCCTGTCCTGAGATGTTTTATACTCATCTGGTCACTGAACACTCTTGTTCTGTAACACAGAACTCTAGCCCAGTATCCAGCCAGGGGAGAAAAGCCATTCTAATCAGAGAAAACAACAGAGGCGTGACAGACTCATGGATTTTAAGCTGTTGCACAAGAACTAACTTTAAAATATTACTTCCATGAGTAATTTTACCCCCAAATCAAATGAAACCAAAACAAAATGAAAAACACAATAAATAAAATCTCAAAAAAGAGTAATTTTCAGTTTGAATACAACTCTAACAATACCAAAGCATGTGTGTGAATCAAGAGAAGTAAGTCATAGGAGCTTCTTGAAGGTAGCAGGGAGTTCTCACCATCACTGACATGTAGGTGCATCCCTATAGAGCTCTACTGCTGTGTCATCATCCTCCATCTCCTTCCATGTCCAGCATGTCCCTAATCCATTCCCTGAGGAGCACAGATCTCTCTCCCTCACTGGCAATGTCAGTCTGCTGCTCCATGTGTCACCCATGACATCAGGATCTGCTGTGTTTGAGGTAAGAGCTCCCTGCCAGGACCTGCTCTGCACAACTTGCCAGAGGTATTCCTGAAGTGTTGGCTGGGTTGCCGTGCTATCAAGGGCAGTGTTCATCACTCAACACCAACTTCTTTATTGTTCCTGCTGCACACCATGGAAGTGCATTACCTACAGGTGAATTAAAGTCACAGTGGTACTTTAGCCAAGCAACCATCGAGACTTGCTTTAGGATTAATTCAACTCTCCCCTTTTTTTTAAATTTCCTTCTAATATCTGAAGGTGGTACCTTGTCCTATTTCTGTGATCTCTTTCTTTTAAGACTGCTTTATGGTAGCAATTTTCTCCCAACTGCTTATCCATGCAACCTGGGGGCCCTGCAGCAGAGCATAAACTCATTCTAAAAATAAGGTGGCCTCACAAAAACCTGAAGCCATAACAGAACAACCCTGGTGAGCCATGTGCACATCACAGACAGCATAACAGGGACCCCGTGGCACACAGCAGCCCTAAACTATTCTAGGCACAGTTTTTTCTTTAGCAAGCAGATAAAAGATGACTCTTGGTTTTCAATCTCTAAAGAATCAGAAGAAATTCACCCTGGATTAGAGAAGGGACCATGTATGAAAAGAGACAAGAGATTTCTCTATGGGAGTAATTTTTCTCATGAACTTGTTCTGATATTTCTGTGGGTTCCTGGTTACTCAAATTAATATTTAATGATTAATGACCATGTATGAAAAGAGACAGACAAGAGATTTCTCTATGGAAATAATTTTTCTCATGAACTTGTTCTGATATTTCTGTGAGTTTCTGGTTACTCAAATTAATGATTCGTGACTGCTTTAAACATTTTCAGTATTAACTTATTGGATCAGAACCAAGGATTTATGGCCACCTTTGGGGAAATCAGAAAAAAATCATCATCCATCAGCATCTGTGTGGAGGTGTTACAGATTATATATTTTGTTTTGGCTGGGGGCATGTCCTATGTGTAATCACAAATAATTATCCAGACAAACTTTTAAATAACTTACCAAACATGCAGGTACTGATAATAAAGTGAACAGAAAAGTGCTAGTCTACAAGCTACTAATGCCTCTTACTTCTCAAGGGGAACTGGGCTGCAAACTCCATGTATAGGTGTGCCCATGAGTAAAGGGAGAGGATATTCAGAATGGAAGTGCATTCCCTACCACAGCTGTCACCCTCCCACAAAGTAGATGTGAATGCCAGTGTAGAGAGCTCCTGACACAGCTCCTGGATCATGGATGCCACAACTCCAGATGCCAAGGTTGGATGTGGAATTCAGACATATTTTACACCAGGAATAAGTTTGAAGGGTCTTGTGAGAGTATGAGGTAGGGCTGAAGAAGACAGAAGAAAGCTGTTTGCAACAGCTCTGCCTTATAGCCAAGCAAAGGACATCTCACTGATGCTGCTGAGTCTGCTTCTTGCACAAACACTAAGTTCACATGATTTAACTTCCTTTTAAATTTATTTTTAATCCAGGAAAAAATGCTCCTGGGCTTTGGCATTACAGGGAACTGAGGAAACCCTTCTCAGGGCTCTGATCTATTAGCAGAGCATGCACAGCCTGATTATTTTTAGGAACTCTAGGAATAAACATAATTTAAAAATTCCCTAATCTCAGAAAGTTCATCAGCATAGTGTTAAGTTCATGATTAGACATGGCAGAGGTTAAGAAAGCATCTGCCATTAAAGAAATGAAAAGCCTGGAAGAGTTTGGTTTGGTTTTAATGCACTGTGTATGGCTACCAGTTAATGCAGATATAAAATTCAACTATGTGCAGAAAAGCTGCAGTACAGAGTCTGAGAACAGATGACCTTGGAAAACTTGTGCTGGCCAGCCTATTTTAACTCTGAGAAATGGTGATTTTACCTTTTGTCATCACCATGCAGAACTCTCAGTGAACTTCTGAGGGAAGGCAAATTGCTGCAAATATCAGTTGTGTTCCCACTGTATCTCTTCCCTCTTTTTTTTTCCTTAAACCTGAATCTAAACATAGAATCAGAGTCATTAGGTTGGAAAAGACCTTTAAGATCATCGAGTCCAACTGTAAACCTAATGCTGCCAAGGCCACACTAAACCATGTCTGCCAGTTCTGTCCTGCTGCCCCAGCCATCAATTCCTGAGATGCTGTGACCCTCAGGGTAAAGGAAGTCATTCCTGAACAAGGCTCTGGACACTGCATCCTGATCAAATCCACAGGGACAGAGGAAAAGATTAAGAGGAAAGGATTAAGTCTGCCTAACTAAGCTTGCATACAGAATAATGTAGACAATTTTCAATCCATATCAGTCTCTACTGGTATTTCCTCTAATTTAAAATAATAATTTAAAAAATACTCCTTAAAAAAATGAAAGAAAAATAAAAGGCTGATAATTGCAATAACTTTGGTAGATTGCTTC